ACAATGCACTGCTGATGTAACCTTCCTAGGATGCAATGCTTGGGCACATTATATCACTAATGCCCAAGGGGACCAGGAAGTGGAAAAACAATAATTGTAAGTAAAGGAAAAATGATTACCTAATTGATGTAAGATGATTTCATATCAGCATGCAGAGCTGTATGCTAATGTAATTTTTAGCAAAAGGGGGTAAAGGTAATTTTTAAGTCTAAAATCGGGAAGTCAGCAGAACAGCAACAGACATACTGAAAATTAAAGCTGTAAACACAGAAGTAACTGGAGTTGCTGTAAAATCACCGCTCCTTGTCTAATCAGAGACTATTTCGTATTCATTGATAAAAATAATAGGTGTTGGCTGAATGGCTGCTGTGCCCAGTGAGCAAGCTCTGTGTTTTCCCAGCAGAGGTGAAGTCACTCGGCAGAGTTCAAGTACAGGACTCGGAAGATCGTTGTAAAGTAATGTAGTAGTTGCCACTGTTACAATGTTTTACAAGGTCCCCGTGGTCCTAGCAGGTATAAAATTTGTATACTTAGATTGGGCCAAGCTGGACCAATATAAATAGACATTAGGGATGCAGCGATACTAGTATCGGTACCCATAGTGAGTATTTGGGCGAGTACTCCTACTCGCCCAAATGCTTCGACGTTTTGCCCCAGATACCGGAACTTCGGTAGTGCCACGAGCATGAACATGATTGGCCTGGGAACCGGTTTCCCAGCCAACCAGCAAGGAGCCGGCTTCCCGGCCAATCAGGAAGCCGGGCGGTGGGTAATGACCAGCTTCCCTGATTGGCCAGGAAGCTGGCTCCATGCTGATTGGAGGCAAGCGGCTTCGTGGCCAATCAGCATCGAGTCAAACAGCTGGCTCTATGCTTATTGGCTGGCTTCCCAGGCAATCAGCATAGAGCCAGCTTCCCGGGCAATCAAGAAGCCTGGCAGTGGGTACTGACACACTGCCCGACTTGATGATTGGCCGCGAAACCGGCTCCATGCTAGCGGAAGTAAAGGTTTCCGTACTGCCGAGTACCGAAAGAAAAACATCGGTCCTCGTACGCAATACGGAAAAACAGTTATCGGTGCCTCCCTAATATACATAAATATCTATGTCTGGAGTTAAGCTTTAAGAGATTACTTACATAAGCCTGGTTGTTACTGGTTCTCGTTACACTTCAGGACTGCCGTATGTAAATAAATGGCACTGTCCTGAAGTGGTTATACCAAGATTACCGTAACTGCAGCAGCCATTGATCGGAGGGAGCTTAGCACACTTCCAGCAGCAAATGTCTCCTCCAATCACTGAAGCAGGAAGCGATGTGTATTTAATCACTTTTGGTTTCAGCGCACTATTTCTCCGGCTGTTGTGGCCATATAAGAAGTTGATAATGCAGGTATCAGACCCTGATGTCTCCATCAAGAGGACCTGTCACTGTATCTGTGCAATTACATAGGGGACTTGTTAAATATCACTTAAAAAAATACAAATGAAAACACGTTAGGTGTGGCTATGTGCGAAAAAAAGACAACTGAGCCACACATATCACCGTGAACGTTGGAGTGAGAGAAATTGATGACCGGTTAAGGCTTTTAAAGCGTTGCCTATGAGACATTTTGGGAACTGTAATTTTTTGCCATTTCACAGACTCATGTCAATTTAAGGCTTGACATGTTTGGTATCTATTTACCTAACACAACCCCATCTTTTAGATTTTACCAAAAAATTGGGTATTATATTTTGTTTGTGTGCACTAAAATTTATTTTAGTGTATTTTATCCTAATGAGAAAGGCGCCTTGCAAGTGAGGTCAGATAAGGAAATATGCCTGATGGGTCTAAAAGTTAGCCTCTGAAGTGCCAAAAGATCCAGGCTGATATCCCACTGTGTCACTGGGAATGTAAAGGGGGTGCACAGTGAGTGATACCCTGCACAAATGTCTTAATAAAGAAGTGAGCAGAAAATGGTCAAACTAGACTGAAGGAAAGACAGAATACGTCCCATGGAGTATCTGCTAGGATGTACATAAGCCTTCCAAGTGCAATGGTAAACTCTAGAAGTGGACTTCCTAGCTTTCAGGAGCATCAGAATGACCAGATCTGAAAGGCCATTAGGACCTGGGCAAGCAAGATGGTTATCCAGCCCTTGGGACAGATGGACTAGAGTAAGTTCAAGTAGCATGACCTCTTGGGTCAGTTTAGTGCAATGAGGATCACCAGATTGTGCTCCATCTTGATCCTGTAGAGCAGATGAGGGAGAACCTTTTGATAGGGAAAGGCATAGATCAGGCAAAACTGATCGCACAAAGTCGCCAGAGCAGTCACTGTTGAGGCCTGGACCTGGCAACAAACCTATCCAGTTTTTTGTTGAAGCTGGACACCAGAAGGTCCACATCCGAATTCTCCCCAACTGTGATAGACTACCTGAACACCTCTGGGTTGAGAGACCATTCTCCTAGATCCAGATGTTGACAACTAAGGAAGTCGGCCTGTCAATTTTCTGCGCCTGGGATGTGCATGGCAGTCATGGTCGGAACATGTAGTTCTGCCAAAGCCAGAATCAGGTTCACTGCTCTTTGAGCTTCACGACTTCTGATACACCCCTGTTGGTTGATGTAGACCACTGCCATAGCCCTGTCCAACCAGTTTCTAATCGGGTGACCTGAAGACAAGAAGTTCAATGTAGAAAGGGTAACCAAACTTTTCTGAGCTACCGAATGTTGATGGAAAACCGAGCTTCCACTGGTGGCCAAGTCCCCTGAACCGAGAAGGTATCTGGCACAGGCTGGTATCTAGAATCTCATAGGGAGAAAGAACTTGCCTGACTCCAGCACTAGATTAGAAATCCACCATGTCAGAGAGAGCCTCACTGAGTTGGAAAGGCATGTGAGGCAATCCAGAGTCTGTTTGGGGTAGTGGTTTCTGGCTTGAAGGGTACACGTCTGTGAACCGAGGGCCAAAATTTTGACCTGGGGAAGAAAGACACTGCACAGGGCCGTGTCCAAGGCCAGGCCCAGATACACCAAGCTATAAGTCGGATCCAACAATAAGGATCAATTTGAAGCTCTGCAGAGTCTGCACATTCCTCTGGACATTAGCCAAAAGGACCTGGACTGCCTCATTTTGGGAACAGTGGGAACAGTGAATAGGTTGCAATAGAAGCCCTGGAAATATTCCTCAATAGGGACGAGTGCAACACTCATGAGCCAGGTATAGCTGAGCAAAGCATTTTTTAGGGGAAATTTTTTTTTTTTAGGCTGAGGTTAGTCACCTTACAACACTGCCTCTAAGAGTGAATGTACAGGGAATGTCTGAGCAGGTTTGGGCATTTTAAGAAGACCCAGGCTACAGACCTTAGGATGGCTGACGCAGGTTGCTCTAAGTTAAGGTATTCACGAACCGCATCAATAACACAATGATATCCATTTTTTGGAGAGATCTCAGCAGATATGATCTCTTTCTGATCCAATTCTGCCAAAACCACAGGGGATCCTCTTTCCACAGCTCTTAAGGAAGCATGGCAGGTTAAAGTCTGAGACAGACCCTGCAAAGGAAGCTGAGGGGGGCTGATTGCAAAGTCTGCAGGCTGAGAGCCTTCCCATGAAGTTAGCCAGTGTCTAAAAAGTATTCTCTAGATAGCCAGGTGGAGGCGTGTGCACCTCAAAGAGAAATGGAGGCCTCAGAGGAAGGGGGATAGTCAGATTGGGGCCAACGGCCAGATTTAGTGCCAAGGCGAGGACCTAAAGCGGGATCAAGTGCCTAAAGCAATATTACAGGCTTGCCCTGCATCTTCTTCCAGGCGTGATCCAAGTATGGTCCCCCAAGCCTCAGCCGGTGAGTCAACCGAACACAGACATCTGCAGAAAGGTAGCCACAGTGGCTATAGAGCAGCTAGAACTTGCAAGAAAAATCATCTTGAGGGGAAAAAAATCCATAAAAGGAGCTTCTCTCAATAGGAAGAAGATATCTATCATTTAAGGACACTAGCTAAGAACTAAGGCTTACTGAGAGTGGGAGGGGTTAAACTAAGGCTGTCCTTGCCGCTTTTTTGCCAGTGTCCAATCAAATGAAGGTGGCAGTATAGCCTATGGTTTTGTCTGGTCCTGTACTGTACATTTAAGAAACCCAGTAAGCTCCTAACTTCCTCTATACTCTGTGTGTGCTGGACTAAAATCTCAAGCAGCCCTGCCAAGTTCTCCTCTATAAAACTACAGATCACCTCCCTTATGCTATGGAGATGAAAAGAGGTATTTTAAATAAGTAATGAGCATTCTAGACTAACAATACAGCTCCTCCACAGGTACAGTAAAGTGAGTGAGAGTTGTTATCCTATGGCAAGAAGTGTGTTACTGGAGGGATTATCAGGTAAATAAAGGAAAAGAAGCCCAAAAAAGGAAACAGGAAGATTTTTTCGAATGAACGTTTGTACTAAAAATCTAATTGGAGCGTTCGATAAAGCCATATAAAGACTTACAGGGTTATTCACTAAAGGGTGAAGAGTATGGAGAAGTGAACAATCTAGGACAACATAGCTGAACTGGAAAGAACTAAATTGGAGAATTTTTCCCAATGTGCTATTTTGGCCTAAATTGTTCACTTTTCCTGCCTTCTCCAAACTCTTCACCCTTGTGTGAATAACCCTGCTAGCGCTTGTCGTTCAAAATTTCCTTTGATTTTTTTGAATGAATGGAGTTTGCCAAATGAAAACCACATTTACTGTTAGAATTTTGTTTGATCGAGAAAAATCTTCCAAGATGCTCCATCAAATTTTTTGGTCACTGTGGTCAAGATCGATCATCGATTTTACCCCATCAATGATTAGAAAGTTGAAATGTTCAGAAATCGATTTAGTTCATTTGAAATTCTAACCTTGTATACACTACTTAAGGACTAGCAATTTAACTTTATAACAATGTTTACGTATGAGTCCTATTATTCATGTGACAGTGTATATAATCTTGTGTGTAATATGAACAATAAATACATAAGTCACAATAAATTCTCTCTCACCTAAGCAATTCCATGTCGTTGAAGTTATATTTGACTTTATAATCACCAATCCTGCGGGTACTTGCTTGGCCCCCAATTATACCTGCCTGTTTTATCTTGGCTGTGTCCAACCCTAAAGGTAAGTCATAAAATTTGTCATTAGCACTTACACATAATATACAGACACAATAATTAAGTTAAGCCTCAAGAGAATGTGCATTTTAATTGTAAAGCTTGAACTAACAAGGAGGACTTTTACATCTCTGAGTTCTGGATGCAAAATCTCCATTTTGAGTTCTTAGCTCTACCACTGCCATTACAAATCACAAAGAAAGCATTACCAACCCCCTAAATTCCCATAATGTAAAATATGTAGTTAAATAATGAATCCAGCGATGACAGTATAACAACCCTGTAATGGGCTCCGTGGGATGTAGAAACACTAGAACTTTAGCAGAAAGAACCTACTACTAGGATTCCTGAAAGATACAGATAAGGGAGTTAATCACTCGAATTAACCCTTTCATGTCCAGTGGTCATGAAAACCTCTCAAATGAAGTTCTATCCACTTTTCATTGATGTACGTTTTTATTGTTTTTTGCGCTAAATACATTTTTAAAGATTTTATGCTATGTGTGGTATATTTGTTTCTTTATCAGTGAGCTAAAACCCGGCTACGATGCATTTGTATGAGCAGACCGTTTATTGATTCATTCAAGGTGTCGAGTGGGGAAAGAAAGAGTTTGCAGTGGGAAAGGATACACTGTTTCTTTCAATCAGTGTGAGGCATTGAATGCAAGTGTGGAGAAAAGAGAAAGAAGGTCTGTTGGAAGCCATTACTTTGTTGGGGAAAGTAGCGTCCCGTGATCACTGCGATTTGACTATTTGATTCTGTGAGTGGGGAGCATTCTTTTTTCTTCTGAGTAGGATTATATGATTACACTTTTTTTAAATCACTATTTGAACTGATCACGATTTATCTTTGTCCAGTGAGGATCGGATGAAGTTTTGTACTTTATATATTTTATATGGACTTTATTTAATATTTATTATTGATTATCCTCAATATTAATTTATGTACACATTATGCACATTGATTGATGATTTATGCTGATTGATTTGCATATCTTAGAATATTAATGAGTCACACATTGTTAAATATTTTTTGCACCATACTTATTGTATTTTATGTGTACGCTTGATATACGGTGGTACACACACATGTGTGTTTTGGGTTGCTTTATTGTCTATTTAGAGATTTAGGGGTTATATTCAATTGTTTCACAATAATCAATAAGCGCGAATATTAACATTTATAAAGTCTTTAGGGATCGCCTAAAGGCAATCAGAGTGGGAAATAGATGGACAGGTTGGGGTAAAAAGTTCCAGAGGATGGAAGAGACTCTAGAGAAGTCCTGGAGCCGAGCATGGGAGGGGTTGACGAGGGAGCTTGAAAGCAGGAGGTCTTTGAAAGAGCGGAGGGGATGGTTAGGGTGATACTTTGAGACAAGGTTTAAGATATACAAGATTTAAGATTTGGGCGATTGGAAGCCAGTGGAGGGATTGGCAGAGGGGGGTTGCAGACACTGAGCGGTTGGTTAGGTGGATGAGTGTAGCAGCAGCATTCAGGATAGACTGAAGGGGAGATAGCCTGTGTAGAGATAGGCCAATGAAGAGGGAGTTGCAATAGTCAAAGCGAGAGATAACAAGTGAGTGGATGAGTAGCTTTGTGGTTTCATTGGTGAGAAAGGGGCGTATTTTGGAGATGTTACGTAGGTGAAGGCGGCAGGATTTGGACAGTGATTAGATGTAGGGAAGAAAGGTGAGGTCCGAGTCAAGGATGACGCCTAGCACCTTGGCATGGGGGGAGGGTTGGATAGTTGTTATCAATCTCAAGGGAAATCTCAAGGGAAAAGTTGGGGGAAGGTGCATGGGCGGGAAGAAATATCATGAGCTCAGTTTTTGAAAGATTGAGTTTTAAGAAGTGTTGTGACATCCAGACTGATATGTCAGTTTGTAGATTAGTGACATGCAAGGACACTGAAGGGGTGAGTTGCGGAGGACCAGCCAGCCTTGCCGTCCTCTACAGTATGTATTCATATACATTTGAAATAGAAATGAGATGTTTTATACCCGAGTTCTTTGAATATGGTATAATATCAAGGTTCTCATTGGAGTATGCTTTATTGCAGCTGAGGGATGATTTGTACTGATTTTTATATGAGATTTGACTTCTATGTAACAATAAAGATTGTATTTTTATCTTTTTATATTAGGCTGGACTTGAGTGATGTAATATACCTTCAAAGCCCCAATCATGTTGCTATTCTTTTTACTTTATTATTTTTAAACATTTTTTACTGTGATAACTGAAAATTGCGGAAATGCTCAGTGGGTGTGTATGCCTACTATATCCACATGATCAGTATGAATTTTAAAAAAATCAAACACCTCAGTAACCCTAATTAACTCCTTCTCTTAGATATTATTTATTTGCATTAATTTCTGTAGCAACACATTAAAAATTACTCAAATTTTTAAAAATGCTTTTATGTCATTTGTAAATAATTTTGCCATGCTTTTTACCATAAACAATTTTAGTGCCATTATAAATGGGAAAAATTATAGGATAAATTGTACACTTTTATATACAGTAATACTAGTGACAATCAAGGTTTGGGCGAAACAAAATGAAATGTAAACATTGCCCTGGTCCCTAAGGGGTCTACAGGTGTGGGAGTTGAACTGGTTAAAAAAAACTTCAGATTGCACTGCAGACTCAAGATTCCCAACATTGAAGATGTAAACTTTTTTGTTGGAGTAACTACAATCAATTTCTTAAAACCTAAAGTGTATGTTATCCCAAAATGTATTAATCTGTGTGTCTCTGTACCTATGCAAATCTTAATAAATGTAGTAATTTCTTACTTTTACCAATAGAGCAGCACAGTTCAGTATGAACTAGCAGATACTGTGATCTAGGTTTCTTTACAGTACATTCTTGTGTATGTGTAACTGAATACAATAGAAGGCATGGGGATATTTCTTCATCCATACTGTTTACCGTGGATGGGGGAATAGAAGTGACCCCTTTCATTCAGCACGCAAGGCAAAAGGAGAGAAATTTAGAGCCTTAGTCATGACTTTGTCCCTTTGGTCTATTCTGCCACTGACGGCAACTTTCTCTGGAAAAAAGGTGTGGTAAATTCAGGATAGCAGGTCCCATCATGATAGATTTTTCCATAGGTACCCTACAGCATAGAGCCGGGGTAGCAAACCTCCGGCCCTCCAGCTGTGGAACTACAAATCCCATGAGGCATTGCAAGATTCTCACAGCCACAGACATGACTCCCGAAGAGAGATGCATCATGGGATTTGTAGTTTCACCATAGCTGGAGGGCCAGAGGTTTGCAACCCCTGGCATAGAGTAATACATTTACTGCCTTATTGGCAGCCTTGATCCACCCTAGCCTGCTTTATATATTGTGAAGAATACATCCTCCTAAGGCGGATACACACAAGATGGTGTATGTACTGATGATCTCTTAACAAACAAATTAAAAACTATGTCAACTAAAAGTATTTAAATATGCCCAGTTATATGACTTTGTGGATAGCAAGTGCATCACACATAAAAATCTATAAATATACTCTAAAAAACTGTTTTGCTTTTCAGTAGAACTGCATGACCTTATAAGAAAAAAAACCTGAATATGGCTTTATGTGTAGATGTTATTCTAAACAGGCATAACTTTTCCCTTTAGGTTTTCAAAGCCATCTATAATATAAACCTTGTTTTTAGACACACTTTTAGTTGAAGGGATGCTTTTCTTTATTTTATATGATAGAAAAGGCTTGTTGCACTCCTTACCGGAGAGTCCCGTGATCAGGGAAGGGTGCTTGGAATGACTGCGGATGGCGCCGCCAATTGCACATAATATGAGCAATTTATAATATGACCATTCTATATTTTGACACTACAAATCTCATGTGAAGAGCAGGTTGTCAACACAAATCCAGTAGACAACTGGGAAGTTTGTGGGATATGAACCCTAGCATTAGAGACCTTGATTTTTTTAAATGTAATATTACTGTTATATTATTTTCTGCTTTAATAGAGAAGTTAGGGTAGCTCTAAAATTAACTGCCTATGGCCTGCCTCAATGGTGTCCCCTATTGAATAAGGGCTTGCTCATATCCCTGCATTGAGGTAACGCATGTTATGCACGTTGGTGCTCTGCTGTGACATTCATTGTGAATGTCGAAGGTCTTCTTTACCCTCTTCTTTTCCCCAGAGGTGGATGGATCTTGAAAGCACCACCGGAGGACAGCACCATGTCATGATTTAATGATGTGGTGCCACTCCATGGTGTGGGGTGGGCCTTTGATTCCCTGGCCTTACAGAAAGTGGGTTTAATGACACCTAGAGTCATTCAACCCGAAATAGGGCAAGTTCTCAATTAGTGAGTGGGTGAGTCTGTGGGACACAGCACCGAAGACAGGGTTGATTATTGCAGCCAAAGCTGCATTTTTATTTTTACAAAAGGCTTGGGACTGGGGACTTAAATTTTTTACTCTTTTGCCCAAGTTTGCCCCTTAAATTATTCACTAGCATTTAGCATGGATTTCTTCTCATTCCCAAATTGGGAGTCTTGCGCCTCCTGCTGCAGAATGGGATTAGTCTCAATCCTCATACAACAAATGAGAAACTCAATAACATGTTTATAATCTATGTAAAGTTTGAAAACAGGTACAATTATTTCACCCCAGAGAAATAAGAATCAATCTGCTGATATATACCTAAAACTGAAGTTTTAGGTGACATGACCCTTTAAAGAGCCTGTTCACACCATATGCAGTGCGTTCCGGCCGGAACACACTGCATCGCGGCCGGCTCAGTATTTCGTGGGGCCAGAGGGGGCAAGGCTGGCCAGTGAAGTTGATGGCGCCATAGCCACGACCTCTGGCCGCAATGCGATCGCCCGCACGGGATCGCAGGGCACATTGTGCCTGCGGTCCGGTCAAAATGCTGCAAGCACTATTTTGACTCCACCGGACTGCAGGCACATTGTGCCTTGCGATACCGTGCGGGCGATCGCATTTCAGCTGGAGGGCGTGGCTACGGCGCCATTCACTTCAATGGCCAGCCACGCCCCCACAAAATACTGAGCCGGCTGCAATGCGATGCAGTGCGTTCCGGCCGGAACGCACTGCATATGGTGTGAACAGGCCCTTACACCACTTGTGAATTAAACAAAGTTTCTGTCACCACTGAGTGCATTCTAAAAATGCTAGTAATGGCTTTTATACTGACCTACTTGCTTTCAAATACTGTTCTCGTAGTATGCAGGTTAGAAAAGACACACTTCCCAAATGGGATATTTCTCAGATGCTTGTCTGGGGCTCACTAACAAAATGTATTGAAGCTTGTTAAGGCATCCAGGCAACTAGCATTTTGCAAAGGAGAGCTGCACAATGTCAGCTGTTTACCCACTTTATTGTCACATTTACAAAATACCTCTAAAAATGATCTGCAGTGCAAAAGAAAATCCTAGTGATGAAATTCCTATCCCTGGTGACTGAAGAGATAGGGATCCCTGTTTATAAACATGTCTAAAATACTGGTAGCTGTAGTCTCAAATCATCAGTCTGATTTTGGCAGTGGACAGCAGTGACCATTGAGGTTCATTGCAATGAAATATAAACATACCCAGCTGGGATAGTCGGAATATCTCATCTTCATTTTCGGTTGTGTGATCTGCATTAAGCTGGGTGACCTGTAGTCCGTCCACTGTGGATTTACAAAGCAATGCTCTGTTGGTACCTGAATGAGAAAATACAGTTTATAAATTCACAAATTAAAGTTCATAATTATTCAGACTCTATATACTGTGTTTAATGGACAGTACTACTGATATTATTCCTGCATACTTCAAATAAAATTTAGCAAGTGGATTTATGCGCACTATAGAGCCATATAAAGTTGTACTGTTCACGTGACTAGAAGGTCACCTGTGATAACATCTTTGGGTCACACATGGAAAAAAATTAATGCACTAGAACGTGTTTAGAAATTGTTGGGAGAATATATCTATCCACACATGGTTAGTGGTGGCTTGAAGTGAATCTGCAGACAGTCCATGGTAATTACATATGCTCAAAGTGGAACTAAGGGCAAAATCAAAAATCATATCTATGATGTAGTCTGTCATTAATACCCTTTCCCCCCCTTCCCTCTGTAACAAGTTTTATTAACTGTGATTCAGTCACTGAGTCTGTTATTTTGTCAACTTCCTTTACCAGACCAAGATGTCCAGCAAAAGTGGGACAAACCATTTAACACTGACAGAGGTTATCTCAAAAGGAAAAACAGTTTCTGAAACTTCTTATAAAATGTTAAGCCGATTATACAGAGTTCCATTTTTTCATTCAACCTGAGGACTGAACAAAACAAATAGAACAGATTCTTCCATCAATGAGCGTTGATTGATGAATCTCTCGTTCTTTCCTTTGTACTCTGACAGCTGACGCCAGCCCTGAACGGTGGTTGCTAGCTCCGTTCAGCCAAGAATGTGACAACTAGCTCCTTCGATCAGCTGATCGAGGGATGCCGGGCGGAAGGGTGCCGACAGTGGCACCCACACAGTGAATTTCGCCTGTCTCATCATGAAGTAAGATTTAAATTTTTTAATCACTTATGTAAAGTCCATGTAGATCTACTAGAGTTGAATACTAAAATTATTATCTTGACAGTAAAAATTAACACAAGAGCGCCCGATCTAAGTGTATTCACATTTATTCTTTAAAAAGGTTTAAAATTATATTACTCACAAGATAAGTCTTTCAAAGCGTATATATAGTTTCTCTCAGTAGGGGCACGTACGCCCGTTTAGCATAATACCGTCCGTCCCGTTTGCTGGTTCACCGCCGGCTTTAGGTCCGTGCTTGTCTGGCTGGTAAATTTAGGGGCACGCCCCCTTCCTCAGAACCTCTGGCCTATGTGCCCCTACTGAGAAGAACTATATATATGCTTTGAAAGACTTTTATCTTGTGAGTAATATAACTTTTAAACCTTTTAAAGAATAAATGTGAATACACTAAGACCGGGCGCTCTTGTGTTTGTTTTTACTGTCAAGATACCTGGAGTTATGGAGCTGCCCCTAGTGGAAGAAGCGCAGCATAAAAGAAAGAAATCTGTAAATTGAATTGTGCCTAAAGCAGCAGGTATTTAAGACTAAAATTACCGTATTTTTCCGTGCATAAGACAATACTTTTTCTTAAAAATATTTACCTAAAAATGGAGTGGCGTCTTATACATGGGGGGCCAAGATAACCGCAGCTGCAAAACTGCCGATACCTCTGCAAACTAGCCACACGAGTGAAACTTCCGATAGCAGAGACAAGCTAACAGGTTTCCTCCAATCATGAGCCTTATGTACCAGACGTCAGCTGATGCTGCGGAGAGCGTGTAGTCAGTGCCCAGATGCGACAGGGATCGGTAATGTCGGAGCATTCTGAGCCCATAAAAATGTTAGAAAACAAAAAAAAATACTGGTAAATACCGGTAAGCGGCTGTCTTAAAAAAATAGCTGTCTGCAAAATTTAAACTGGACGTAATCAGTTATGCAAAACAGCATGGAAATAGAGCTGCAGAGAGACAGTTTGGACCTCCTCCCACTGAGTGTGTGATCAGACAGTGGAGAAAACACGAAGAACTTCTTAAGATGCCAAAAAAGAGGGCCTTGAGAAGAAAACCAGCAAAATGGCCAAACTTGGAGCAGAGGCTTAAGACTTGGATTTTAGAGCAGCGCCAGAGTGGCTTATGTATGTCAACCAAGCTTATTCAATGTCAGGCAAGAATGTTTGCAAGCGAAATGAAGATTGTTGATTTTACAGGAAAGGCAAAATGGTGCTCCAATTTCATGAGGAAAGAAGGGTTGGCCATGAGAAGATGAACAAGACGCCGACAGGAAGACAGAAAATATTGATTTCTGAATTTTGGGTAAGAAAAGTGGGGGGGG